ACAAGGCAACGCGGCCAGGGTCCTGAACGGCGAGTGACGCAGGAAGCGGGGGGGGGGGCGAGGGTGGTGGCGGAACCTAGTCAGTGCCGAACGCACGGGGTGGCCCCGGCGTTCGGCGTGACGTCTTCTGCGGCAAGAGCAATTTGTTCGGCCATCTGGCCCTGCAGGGCCCGGGCGACCGAGGAGCGAAGGGAACGCCTGGCGGCGTTGCGCTCGGCCTCGGGGAGTTCGCCGAGCACGCGCAGAAGGCAGGTCTCGGCTTCGGCCCCCCATTTTCCATTGATGTCCAGGACAGAAGGCGCGAGTCCCTGGAATGGGTATCTGCGGTGCTTCACTTTTTCCCTGCGCTGCAGGGCCGCCTGATCGGGCCTGCCGATCTGCGCGAACGCCGCGGAGTCCACCGAGCTGATGTCGAGGCGTGCGCGCGCGAGCAGGCCGCGGTGGTGCACGACGTCCAGCGTCGCTGCACCGTCCGTTTCCGCGTGCCATTCCAGCATGACCTGCTCCACCTGCGCGTGGTGGCCCATCTCGCGCAGCCAGAGCGCCGCGGCGTCGCGGATGGCCTTGTGGCGCCGCGCCGGGCCGCCGCCCCTGGGGCAGCTAAGCGCGCGCGCAGTGGACATCCACGGCGCGTCTGCAGACGGGGCCCGCCTGTGCCAGCGCGCGGGTGGGCGCTGCCGGCCCGTTCTGGCACGTGCCCGCCGCGAGCAGCAGGGGCAGGTGCGCGCGCCGCTTGGCCGCGATGCAGAACGCGCGGTCGGCGAGAGGCGAGACCCCGTCGAAATTATCCGACCATGCGCCCGCAGAGGGGCCAGAAGCACCGTGCACCGCCGCCGCCGCCGCCGAGGGCAGGGTGGTCAGGAAAGCCTTGGTGGAGTGGTCGCGTGCCCGTCTGGTGTGCGTCTTTTGGTCCGTGCCCGCGCGGCCTTCCAGGGGCCCCTGCCGCTGGTCCGCCTGGGGCGCGCGCCCCCCGGTCAGGCGAGCCTGCGCAGCGTCGGCCGCCGAGAGGGCTCGGCCCAGGCCTGGCCAGCGGCGCCTGAGTCCCACCGCCGTCGTTTCCCGCAGCTCTGCAGCGGCTGCGCGGATGCCTGCCTCCCGGGAGGCGAGGAGGGCCGCCGGCCTGCGTGCGGCCGCGCCCCCGAAGCCGAACCCGCCTTCGCTGACCTTCATGAAGACTTGGGTCCGTGGGGCCTCGGTGACGCCGAGCAGCCCGCCGAAGAAGGCGACTGCGCCGTCATCCACCTGGTTAGCCCGAGCCTCTGTGAGCAGGAGCGCGCGTTGCATGTGGACCTGCGCCCCGCGCGACCAGATCCGCCCCGATTGAAAAGCGTCGAAGGCAGACAGGCCATGCTTGTGGAGCATGAGCAGCTCGCGAAAGTAGCGGTCCTGCTTGGCCAGGAACGCCTCACCGCGCGGCGGCGGCGCGTCGGCACCCGGGGCGGCCCCGGCACCGACGGCCGCTGCCTCCTCGGCGAGGCCCTCCGGCGCCGCGAAGCCCGTGGGGGTGGCATCCTGCCAGTCCGAGTCCACGTCGTGGCCGGCGTAGGCCAGCGTAGAGTCTACCGCCTTGAGCTTGTCTACGCGGTGCTGAGCGTAGTGGGCGTGCTGGGGCGGCAGCGCAGCGTGGGGGTCCGGGGGCCAGATCTGAGTCTTGGGCATCTTCAGATTCATGCCGTGAGACTCGATGCGAGCCTTCCAGGCCTCCAGGCCGTGGAATACCGCTTCCGCCGAGCCGACGAAGTACGTGTCGTCCAAATACGCCGGGCAGTCACCCTGCGGATCGACGGCCCGAACCGAGGCCCGGCCTAGGCTCAGGTCGTCCGCGGTGCCGACCCTATAGAAGCCGGGGCTCATGGAGCATCCCTGATCAAGCCCGCGGATCTGGGCAACCAGCTGGGCTGGGTGTGCCCTGCCTCCAGCGACGTGGTAGGTGCAGTCTTGCAGCCGCGCCTCAGCCGGGGGGCGTGGGCCAGGGACTTTGGTGCGGATCGACTCCTTGACCAGTTCCCTGGGGATGCTGCTGAAGGCGTCGCCCAGGTCCACCGCTACGACCCAGCGACCAGGCTGGGCATTGGCCATCGTGCGCAGGCGGCGATGGAGTGCGCCGCGCCCGTCCTTGGCGAGGCCAAACTGCTGGTCTCCAGCCGCTGCGCGCATAATTATACGCATGGAAGATCATGGCCGCGCTGCGCCCCACCATCCGTCTGGTGACGTTCCCACAGCCTAAGACGCGCACGTCTCCAGGAGTGGCCTTCGGGATGCCCGCCAGGCGGGCGGTGACGAGGGCCGCGAGGGCCCCTTGGGGGGGTCGCCAGTGGCGGGGCGAGCAAGCGTGTCGGCCACCGCGGCGGCCCCCTCCTCGTCCGTCTTGAGGGGGGCCCTGTGCTCGTGGCGTCCCCCGCCTGGTCCCGCACCGCCGCGCCTGGGGTAGCGACCGAACTGGCTCTTCAGGTGCGTGGCAGCGCGGCGGCGGAGTTCCGCGGCCCCTGGCCGCTCCCCAGGCGCGAGGCGGACCTCGTCGCCTTCCACATGGGTCATGGCTACGTCAGCCTGCCCTGGGGTGCCACCGCCACCAGGCACGCGCGGAGCGACCCCGGTACCTTGGTGGGGGGCCCCAGGCGGCGGGCTGGGGCGGATCAGGCATCTGTGTAGATCGGAACTTGCGAAACACCGCGGCCGCATCTGCCGTGTCGCCCTGCGGCCAGACCGCCGCCGCGGCTT